GGGCACAGACTCCTTGATTTTGCCAGTCCTGATGTAGTCTTCGAGCCCTGGAAATTTCATGGCGTAGTCTTTCTCTCCCATGATGAGAAGTCCTGGAGCTGTGATTTTCGGATCATCCAGACCACAGGGCACCATCATAGTCCTGCGCATAAGAAGATTTTTCTAATAAAACACGTCATTCTTGACATAGGATTGGTTTGACTATAGTTTCTCGAATCTCCAAGCTCTCTTTGGGATCATATTGGAACATATAATCAGCAGAACCCAACCCATGTGAAAAAATAGAAAAATTATTATTACAGCAAATTCTTGGTGTCCTAAAAATGTTGATTGTTCTTCAAATGTTAAAGGTTGACTTGAGGAGAACTTGTCTGGTTACCTGTATGGAACTTGCAGTGCAGTACGGAACCCGCATTTCTCATATAAAGATCCATACTCTGTAAGATCCTGCTCACTGAACCATGGTGGTAGTGGAGTAGATGAGTCAACCAAGTCCATAATCTCCTGATTATCATCAGCAGCAACCGGGGGTAAACTTCCAGAGAACATAGTGTAAACCTTTCGCACCACCGTCTTCCTGTCAAAGCGTCCAAAATCTGCTTCAGCTCTTCCTGGCACCTGGGAATTTACAGGGCATTTTTCTTTTAAGATATCCATGGAGAATTAATCAACAAGAAATATGATGAAACTTACCATCCACCTTAGCATATAAAAGCCTGGTGGAATGAGAGGAAGTTGACTCTGAAGAGGAGCGAGACCTGGTAGTAGGAAAGGAACGCCTAGTAAGATGATGGTGGACACTCTTTCAGGGTAGAGTATAGCCAGCATGGCTGCTACGAAGGCTCCGAAATCCTTTGCAACAAAATGCGCCTGCTTTCAACAATTAAAGATTAACATGCTGCTTTAGCTTCATTTTCTACTTATAATTGCCACCATAAATACAATTAATGAAGTCTCTTTAACTACTGTTGTAAGCAAATCTTTCACATATCAAAGTCAATAACGTTACCTTACTGATGCCCAAAGAGTCAAGAAGGGCAACAACATCATCAACAAAGTCATTAAACGTTGCCTTCTCTGGCTCTGATGGATGCTCTGAGAGTCCATAACCCCTAAAATCAACAGAAATTGCTCGATAGCCAGCATTAGCCACGGCAATCATCTGGTGCCTCCATGAATACCAAATTTCCGGGAATCCATGCAAGAATACCACCACCTTAGGACCTACACAGATAATAACCCCCATCTGAGTCAGAAAAGCTAACAAGCAAATCAAATGACTTCAAAAGAAAATTTTCGAGTTTGTATGATTAGATCGAATCAAACCATTTCCAATCTCAGCGACATGAAGCTTTAGTCCTTTAGCTTGTACATGGCTGTGCTGAATATTTTCCATTGTTTACAGAGATCAAGTTGACTGAGAGAATGTCAGGTGAGAGCTCACGAGGCGCAGGATCAAGTTAGTTAAACTAATGATCTAAATACTTATCTTCTAACTAGTGGTCGTAAATTAATTAATTCTTAAATACTTTTTTTCAATAAAAACCAATATATATTTTCTTCCTTCCACTCCACTAAGACAAGTGAATTAATTGAAAGTAGGGACTTATCAGGTGGACCGTGAAGTGTAAAAACAACTTAATAATTCCAAAATCCAATCCTTATATATTAATGTACAAAATGGTTAAAATCCAAATTATATTACGTAATAATGTATTTGTGCGACTGGTCAACTCGAAGCGTGAGGCCAATAGGTGGAGGGATGGACGATCCAATTATTATTGCAAGGGACCAATGCGTTGTTACTCAACTACCATCATTTAAGGGTACTAACTGTTGATTGCGATTTCTCAGCCTTAATATTTACATTTTCTTTCTTCATCATTAATCACTACATATATATATATATATTAAAAAAGATAAAAAAAAAATTTCGTTTGATAATTTTTTTAATCCTTGATTTTTTTTTCATTCAATTAAGTTTTAAATTTTTTATTTTAAATTAATTAAATTTTTGAACATTTATTTTTATCCTAATTAAGTCTTTACTTTGATAAAAATTGATATTAATGATTAATCAATTTTCTTTTAATAAAAATTCAATGGATAAAAATATATATTTAAAAATTTAATTAATTGTAATAAAATGATAGAAATTTAAATAATTATTAAATTTTTATTTAATGATTTTTTTATCATTTTACTATATATTATATATATTGTGTAAAATTAAAATTTTAAATCTTACGCAATTAGTAGATTAATGATCCATGTATAATTTTTTTAGTAGATAGATTTGATTCCTCTTTTTCTCAATTAAAAAAAAATTATATCTTCTTCAAGGAAGACTTGTAACTTACTGAGAAATTTGTCAAAATTGTTGTTTTCACAAGTCCTTTTCCATCAAAAGGACAAAAGAAAACCAGTTATTTGTCATTTGAATAAGCAAAAGGGTGAAGCAGGGCGAGTGTCTTTTCCTTTGTCTTATTATTACTATTCATCTCTGGAAAAATGGACAGGGTGGTTGGTTTGATTTTTCAAAAGTCATACTTTCTTTCATAATACAAAATTTTATGAAGTAAACAACCCTTTTAATCTTTTACTTTACCACCAAATTTTGTCTTGTTACCTTAAGTTTTCAACTTAATTACTTATTTACCTTAAAGATTTTTCACAAGTTATTCTTTGGAGGAAACTTATCTCAAAACCGAGAATTGGTCAAAATTTTGCTTACATTTAATTTGGGCAATAATTTTTTTTCCAGAATTGGCCAATGTTTTTTGAAGTTGCTTGAACGAAAAATAAAGATATTTAATTTTAAAAATATATTTAAAATTATTTTTTTTGAAATGTAATTATGCACAGTATTTTATAAATTAATGGTGCATCAAATTGGATTATTCTAACAAAAATTTGTATTTAATGTTTTGTCTGTATATTAATATTATACATTAATACTGAAACACATAATAACATATTATAAAAAATTAATTTAAAAATTCTAAAAAATAATTTCATTTAATTTTAAATATATATTTAAAATTAATTTTTATATAATATTAATATATAATTTACTAAGATTGTATAGTATTTATAATTAATAATATATTAAATGTAAATCCTTCCAACAAAATAGTTTTAGTCGAGCAAATTCTAAGTAAACATTTGTAGCTCCCTATATTGTGGCACTCTCTACTGGAATGGCCTAATAGGAGTTGTAGTGGCAAAGGATAACATTCACACTTTTCTAGACTCAATTGGATTCTGTATTTGAATCAACTTTTTCCAAAATTGTTTTATAAAAATTTCCTGATGAACGGGATATGGGAATTTGACAAATATTATCTTGAAGACTTGAAGTCGCTTTAGGCTTTAGCATCATGATTAATCAGATTATCTTTGTTCCTATAACCTTTTTCTTCCTTTTGCAAATCACATTGTAGTAGAACTATGTACAGTGATGGATTTTCAGATTTAATATTGGGAGATCAACTAAAAATATAATATTATATATAATATTTCATTTGAATTATGTTATTTAACTAACATATATGCAAGTAATATATAAATAAAAAAATTACAAATATATAAAATCATAAATTTTATTAATTTATAAATATAAATATAAAAAATATATCAAATAAATAATAATATTTAAAAAATAAGCAATATTTAAAAAAATAAAATTTGAAAAATTAAATCTAAACTAAATGTTTTAACAATCTCTCTTTTGATGTTAACACCCAATAAGTGGATCAAAGAAAAAAATTTTAATTTATTTGTTTATAAATGAAAAGTATATATTAAAATTATTTTTTAAATTTATGTGATTGTAATTTAATATATGTGACAAATCAATTAATTTAAAATATTTGTGGATAATGATTAGTGAATAAAATAAATAGATATATTTTAATATATTTTAATCTTTTAATTGGAAAATGATTAAAACTTATTTAATATATAAATATAAGAACCTAAAAAAGATTTTTCAAAATCTTGTGGGGCCCTTGGCTCCAGGTTTATCTTACCCACTGCGCCTGACAACGTATCGGCCCTCTAATATCTGCTCAGCACTCTAATTGCCCGACCAGTACAGCTAAGGATCAAATAAATGCTGATTTAAATACAGTAAATAAAGATTTAAAATCGTTGGTGAGCGGGGTGCATCACATCACATGACTTATGATTCCTCCCAAGGCCAGGCTTCTTCCCATTATAGCTAAGCTTAAGGCCCATTTGGATGGCCAGTTGTCCTTCTATTTAACTTTTTCCTCCTCATTTATTTTTTTTCATTTATTAATTTTTTATTTAAAAATTTTAAATAACTTTGTTAATTTAATATAATAAATAAAATTTTATAATTATATAATCAAAATAATTAATAATAAAAAGAATATATAATTGAATATTACTTTGTTAAATTTCAATTTATTTAAAGATATTGTTATCATTTTTTATATTATTTATTATATTACTATCATTTTTATTAATTTTTATTTATTTATTAACCAAATTTTTATTCAACATAAAAATAATTTAGTATTTTACTATTATAATAATTAATTTTATTTTTTTATTATTTTTAATCTCACCTTTACTTAAATAAATTAAAGTTTCATTTAAATAAATAGTAAATTTAATTTTGATAAAATTAAAAAAAATAATTATTATAATTATGATTAAAATTTTATTATAATTACTATTAAAAATTTTAATAAAAAATTTATACTTATTTGATTTATTAGAATTAATATTTAAAGTGAAAAAAAATGATAAATTTAATTATATTATATTAAAAATATCATAAAATCCAAACAAGAACTAAATGTCGGTATGCAACCACAGCTTCATCAGACAAGGCGGACGGTCGCATCTAAAAAAAATCGACTCAAAGTTGTTTTTTCCTCTATGTCAGTACTTGGAACCATGTGAACCAATGTGTCCCCCAGGAGGTCAGAAGTCTGAAATGTGGATACCAGTTACTGACTCAGGCTACATATCCCATGCCATAAATGAGGACACGTTTTCATCACCCTATATGGAACATGTGAAAAACGTTGAATCTATCTTTTCTTGCTTTCTTTCCAGGACTACTGTATTATTTTTTAAGGCGAAGGGACAACCAACCACATGTTTTAACGTCTGAGTCTGACTCTGGAAATACTAAACTTCTTTGGGGGTGGGCTTTCTTTGGTAGTGTCAGAATCTTATTCATTGCATAATGAAGTTCTCCGATTTTCGTTTTTCTCATTTGAAAAACTCGTTACATCTTGAGATGTATACTAGTACTACTATTTTTTTTGGAACGAAGAATTATCTGATATTGCAAAGAAAACCCCTAATCTCGCCTGACGAATTTAGAAATGAAATAAAAGTAACAGAGTCATAATTAATTTTTTTTATTAGATGTAATTGATCATTTATTAAAATATATTTTTTAATAAAAAATTTAAAATTAATTAAAATTTATTAAAAAAATATTTTTAGAGTCTGTGAAATAATTTGAGTTTGAGAGTCAATTACGTGTATAGAAATATTAGCATCCCCACAATGTCGATTTAAAACGGTACCAATTAATTACATATTATTCATTAATTTTGATAAAAATAGTATTATTTTCGATGTTTAAAAAAATAATTTCCTTGATTTTTTTTGTTTATTGAAATTTTAGTTTTTTTTATATCTTTTATTATCCAAACTTTATTCGAGGAAAATAAATTAAAATTCTTTTATTGAAATAATTCTTAAAATATTTCAGTACATTGGTAACATTAGAAGGAACTCTTTCTCACGTAAAAATTTTTTAAGCATCACTTCTCGAAATAACTTAGAATCTCATTCTTGGAAGTTCGAATTCACTTTTCATAAAAACTATGCCATGCATGCAATGCAAATAATAATACATTGATGCACACATTTTATTTATTCTTTAAAAATTTTATTATATTTTTATATTGAATTATTATTATAATTATTTTAATGAAGAAAAGAGAAAATTTTATCATATTGAAGATTTTTATACATATTCTAATACATTAGTAATATTTAAAAAATCTTCTCACCTAGAGATTTCGTAAAGCATAACTATTCATAATACTTTTAAAATCTCATCCTCGGATAGAATTTCCTTTTTTCTCATTTTTTTTTGTCACTTTATTTTTAATCAATTTTATAACAAAGAAAATAAAAAAATTTTATTATATTAAAAAAATTTTATAAATATTTCAATACATTGGTAGTATTTAAAAAAATCTTCTCACCTAGAGATTTTGTAGGTATCACTATTTGGAGTACCTTTGAATCTTATCATTAGATAAAAAAAAAATTTCTTATATTTTTTATGAATTTTGTATTATTATTACTATTTTTTAAATTTTTTATCATTATTCTTTAACGTATTTCATTATTTATTTTTTTATTTTTATGCATTTTTATTGAAAAGAACAAAAAAATTATTTTAACAAATTTAAACATTTTTACATACATAAATACTAA